GTTGGCACCTTACCCGTTCGACATGGAAGAAAAACCAAAAAAAAAAGGGAAAAAATTAAATTCTCCAGCGTGAGCGTTACCGCCTAGTTTCAACAGCTAACCTGCAGCAGCTGCAAACCTACTCCCCGTCAGGTCACTGCGCAACAGCACAGGAAGGAGAATAACCAAAGAATAGATCTTGAGGCGAGAAACATGCCTTGAATATTCATGACAGCAAGTTCTTGTTTGAAAATTCTTAGGACAGTTCCACAAACCAACATGGACTAATCTCAAAACCTCACACGATGTGAAAAAAAGAAACACAGAAACATTTGTGCAGTGCTCTCCATCTGCTAAGGGCCAAGGCCACAACACCCTGCTCGGGACACACACGTACGTGCACAACTGAGCAGCAGGGCGCACACGCTAGGGCAGGACAGGCTCCACGCTGGGCTGCCTCGCCCACCCTCCCTGTGCTACACACAGCCCCACTCCTGTGTGATTGATACCGCCCACAGTAACAGAATGAAAACATACTATAAAACAATTTTGAGATTTTTTTTTCTAGAGACCAAACAACCAAACATCCCAGTAAACAGCTAGTACCATGGGCATGTTGGTAAGAGCAGCCCCAGGCAGGGCAGCTCAGAGAAGCCAAGTCCACATCTTGGAGCCGGGCACATATGTTTGTAAAAGTTACTCTTGGGAGAAAATGGGTAAAGCGTGGCATGGTCTTTCTGTACTATTTCTTAACAGCTGCACATGGAGCCGCAACAATCTCCATAAAGACGTCACCTCTGGGGACCCAGAGTCGGGGCCGGGCGGGACCTACGTGCAGGTCTTTCTCCTTCAGCAGCTCTTGGAAGGTGCTCTGTCCCCACAGCAGGAGCGCGGCTCTCTGCCAGTCTGCAGGTGCAAGGCACGCGGGACTCCAGGGAAGGCCAGCTGTGTCCTCCTGGGAGGGAGGCTCTCGGGTCTCTGAGAACAATCTGAACACGAGGAACTGAAACTGAGCAGAGACACAGCGATCTCTTACTCTTTGTGCAAATTTCACTGCGAGAGGCTAGAAACAGTCCATCTGCAGCACATCCGACTGCTTCTTTGGGTTAAAGGTCTAGAAGCGGGATTGCTGGGTCAGAGCTGCCCTCCAGGGGTGGGGCCACTGCAGTTCTGCGGTAGCAGAACCACCTGTCCCCGGGTGTTTCCACTAAAACGTAGGACAACAGGGCCAGCGAAGCGCTTTCTCAATCACATGTGAGTTTGTGTGTCTCTGCTTATTAGGGAGACCAGACTGTCTTCCTGTGCAAACACACAGAGTCGTGGTGCTCAAGGGACCACGGCCCCGACTGGTGAAGCCGGGGGGAGAGTGCTAGGTGTCTCCGAATCTCCACTCCCCGCTTTCTTTACCAAGTTCCTCCAAGTGACTGACGGGGAAGTGCAGGTGCACCCCGGATCCCAGGGGCTGCGCCCGGTTCAGACTCAGTTTATCTGGACAGGGCCAGGAATCTGTACTTTGAAAAGCTTCTCAGCTAATTCTAGTGTGAAACCTGAAACCTGCAATTGAAAATCACTATTTTATACACAAGAGATGTTCATTAAAATTCTACAAAAGGATATCCCTGGTTTGCATTGTAACTTTACCTTCGCTTTCGACATTTAGGGTTTCTGATACTCACCTTGCACTCACTAGAGGAAAGGAGTTAGAATTCTTTAAATGGAAATATACTTTTTACAAATACTTATCTTTTAATTTACCTATTCTAGGCTGGGCGCGGTGGCTCACGCCTGTAATCCTAGCACTCTGGTAGGCTGAGGTGGGAGGATCTTTTGAGCTCAGGAGTTCGAGACCAGCCTGAGCAAGAGCGAGACCCCGTCTCTACTATAAATAGAAAAATTAGTTGGGCATCGTGGTGTGCACCTGTAGTCTCAGCTGCTTGGGAGGCTGAGGCAGGAGGATCGCTTGAGCCCAGGAGTTCGAGGCTGCAGTGAGCTATGATGACACCACAGCACTCTAGCCCAAGCGACAAAGTAAGACTCTGTCTCAAAAAAAAGAAAAAGAAATTACCTATTCTATAAATATCAGTATCTATTTCTTTTAAAAAGCGGGGATGCTTATCACCTGAGAGCCCCAATTTAAACTGGAACAGGAAGAAAAAGTGGCCTTCCACCGTCGGTGTGTGAGGAAGGCCACACAGACGAGACAGCATCATACGTGACAAAACCGCACGCTGAGGTAAATGCTGAGGTAGAGAAGACCTCTGCCCACGTAGTTTAGAGAAGAATGGGAAGGGGAACCTAGCGGACCTACCTTTTTTATGAGGCCCAGAGGTAAACAATTGTACAAAACATCACGTGACTGGGAAG